AATTCAAGATTATTTTCTTTAAATCAACGCTGCACTGCACTATATATTATCAATATGTTAACTTAAGTTCAGAATGACCAATAATTTCAATGAAAAATGCAAAAATATTCAAGACACCAACAAAATAGTTGCTCTCTCTCAATTGTAAACAAAGCCAGACTGACGCCTGGTGGCCGACCCATGCATCTGATGAGTGCACAACTAACTAGTTCCCTGTACTGCATATATTATCAATATGTTAAATAAATGTTAAAATGACTAATAATTTTAATAGAAAACATGCATAAATATTATAAAGTACAACTTTATTGATATTTACTCCATTGGAAACAAATATAAACATAGAACAAATTACTGAATTGGCTGAGTACAGTACCCCCTCAGCTGATCAGCTGATGTTCAAAACAAAAGGTGATTTTCGTAAGGATTTCGTTAATCAAATTTTTGTTCGTTAACCGAATTGAAGATTCTTATGGAAGGTAATTCGTTAACCGAAATTTCGTTAACCGAAGCGTTCGTTAACCGAGGGACCACTTTATTTCAATACACTCAATCCGAGGCTTCCCCCAAGCAACACTTAAACCTGTCAACTGAGATGTATTTGTACACTGATATTTGGCATGACCAATCTCTCTACATGCAAATCACTTGACTGGCAGCCTACCCTGCCTGCCCATTTTATTATTGTAACATGAGTTTGGTCTATGGAAATTATTTTGTGAATTTCTTGAGACACATTGCCATTTTGTCCACCTTTACAATAATTTGAACCTGTTTGTCTTGTATAATTATTATACACATGGTTCCTCTGACCTTTGTCACAAGGTTGGTACCTAACCTTATTTATATTCTGTTTCTGTGATACCTCCTCCCTACATTTTGTATGCCACAGTTTCTACCCTGGGTATAAGAGGTAGACAGACCAACAAATCCAATAAAAGGAAACAAAGATGAATATTTTGTGGCAGTCAAGACCAGTGTTATATTTACCATGGTGCAGTTGCACTACAGGTGGGCACTAGTCAAAAGTGGTCATCTTTATAAAATAAAGAATTATGTTTCTACAGTAAGGGAAGTTATGTTTACAGTCAGCAAAAAAGTTCTCGAACACTCTAGGCATCAAACAATATGACAAAACGAATGAGATATCAGAACATTTTTCTATGAGGATGTTTTATTGCAGATTAAATTACAGTACAGTAATACCCCGCTTTACGGGGTTTCACTATCCGCGATTTCGCATTTACGCGGTACCTCGCCAGAACCGGACTTCCACTTTACGCGGTGCATCTACTCATATACGCGGGTAGCGGCGCTGGCAGGATGGGCACAAGGTCGCCCAGTCATCAAAACATTACCGAGTTCTTCACCCGCCACCCACCACAGCTGGCCCAAGTCAGTGATAGTGATAGTGAGGATATGGACTTATATCGACTTTGAGGGGTTTGACAAAGAGGCCCTGCAAGCCTATGTGATGGATAGTGGTACAAGTGGTACAGGTGAGGGCCAATAATCTGCCTTCTGCCTCGGAACCAACCCCCCATCCCCATGTGCCCAGCCATCTTTTCTATTAATGTAAGTGTTAAAAAACCTAATATTATTGATATTTCTCTTAATTATTTATTGTGTGTGCATACCATCATAAAGTTAAGATAAAATTTTTACTACAACATAGTTGTGTGTCGTCAAAAAGTGGAGTTTGGGAGTCGGCCCGGTCTCTATTTCAATTAATCCCATATGTTATGTTGTTCACTTTACGCGTTTCTCACTTTCCGTGGTACCCTGTGGGTTGAATTAACCTCGTAAAGTGAGGGTTGACTGTAGTTTATCCTAATTTACATTGAAATACATTACTTTTTAGCAAAACTACTATTTATTTCTGAGAATATGGAAATGTAATATTTTTGCTGAAATGACGTACAGTAGGCTCTCGCCACTAACGACTTCCACAATAATGTTTTCGACAATAATGGCAAGTTACAATAGATACCCATTTTCGATAATAACGTCTGGATTCTCTTGAATAACGGATATTTCGAATTTCGCAGGAAGCATCTGAGTGCATCAATGATAGCGTTTGTTTGCCGCCATGTTGATGACATAGTTGTCCGCTCCGCCTCACTCTCACACACGCTCCGTGGAATACAGCGCTGCGCCCACATGTGAGATTTTCGCCTCCATATCCAGTGGTTGAGAGGGGCGGTGATCAATAATGGCTTCCGCATTTTTGCCTATGGGGGCTAGGGGAGGTGGTGGAGGGAGTGATTTGCTACCTGAACACCCAGGAACTTTTAAAGTGAATGAGAAAAAAGACCCCAAAGCTAAGAGACAAAGCCACAAGAAGCGTGCCTACTCAGTCAAGGATGAAGAACAGATTATTGAGTTCATTGAAAGTGGTGCACGGAACATTGATATTGTGAGGAAATTGAACTGTCCTGAGTCTACAGTGCGAAATATTAAGAGGAACTTAGAGGAGACCAAGAAGAGTATTGCTCTGGCTAAGAAATATTTCGGTAGTGATCGAAATGCAAGGCAAGCTATGAATGATAAAAGTGTTAGAAACAGGTTGTTAGTGATAACAGAGCATTTTCTTGTGAAATGGTTAGCTTGTAGAATGAAAGACAGTGCAAGTGTTAGTGGCCCTCACATACGGAACAATCATCACACCAAGCACCTCAAAAACTCCCCCAAGCTGAGTGTTATACTACTCAAACTCTTTATATTGATGATTGAATAACAATTATTTTTATTTCAGTGAACAGTGTTAGAAATTTTGGGTGGCAACCTAATAAACTCCTTACATGAATTTTAATGTCACACATAATGTTTTATTAATAACGGCTTTGGCACCTGTTAGACGTTATTGGTGAAACCCTACTGTACATATTACAATGGAAAGTGAATATCGCGGACAGCAATGATTTACTTCTTTTCAAAGATATAGCATTAGAATCGTTTTTATTTAAAGTTAAAACTGTTGTATTACAATAATATTCTATCCTAATTTACTTGTGATGCAACAGTTTTTTAACTGAAAACAATTCGAAAAACACGTGTACCGTCCAGCTGATACGGCAGAGCCCTGGTCGCAGAGGCTTTGTTTTTGCATCAGCCCTTCTTAAGCAGCCTTTACTTTTAACATACTGTACATTGAAATTGTGTTTACCGGTATATTTTTATTTTCTTGCTTCTTATTTTCCAGAAATATGACAAGTTTGTCTATAATACAATGTTACGGTACTTTTAATTTTCAAGTATTCATTTTTAAAAATACAGAAGACACCAAATAAATACCAGTGCGGATATTTGCGTGACTCTCCCGCCAAAACAGACCAAACAGCTGGTACTCCCTCCCTCATTCCTCCCAAAAATAGCCCAATGACATCTTTCTTGTTTATTCTCTTCCAATTTCTCACTGTAACTGGTATTTTTTACTTCATATTGCCTACATCAGATAAACTACAGCAATTGAGGTTAGACACTGTTATAAATTTGATTACCGGGTACTGGCAGGATGCCGTTAGAACCATCTGACCCTACCAACAGTGTTGCAAGTCAGACACAGCATTTTTTTTTTTTTTTACATTTTTGGTGTCTCCATTTGTTAATTTTTTTTTTCTGTGGGGTTTGCACAATAGTAAACTGTTTTACCTACAGTATTGTAAAACGATTTGGGAAAAGAAATACTCGGTAACTTTAAATTTTAAACGGAAAATCTTGAAACTGGCAACTGTGTGCTGAAGACGATGACAAGGAAAATTATTTTGATGGATTTTCATGAAAATATTCAGAAATATGATATCGTAGTATTTATTCAAGTGAATTAGGATAGAATATTATTGTAATACAACAGTTTTTTAACTGAAAACCCTTCGAAAAGCGATCACGGTAAAATCTTTTGAACAACGAAAGAAAGCGAAAGTCATTGTTTTCGTCATGATTTTATCCCACTTTCCACTGTAATACGTACGTCATTTCAGCAAAAATATTACATTTCCATATTTATTTCTGAGAATATATTCATTGAGTCACAGTTAAGGTAAAATATACTTGTGATGTAATATTTTAATGAAAATACCTGGTATTTAGAAATACGGTATCATAGTTTTCTTTTGTTTCAAATTTAATTAACAAAGATTGATGTTTCAAATGTAATGAACAAAAGTTTATGTATCTACAAATAAACTTTAAAAATGAATACTTTATGTTTTACATCGTCCTGTGCTACCATACCATGCATTTGGCTACTTTGGGCTTGCTATGATGACGCAAGAGATCTGCCCTGGCAACTGTACCGACACTCACAGCTGGTAGTGCGTCGTTTCCACTGTTTACTGGTAGTTACTGGTAAATATTTTTCAACCTAATGAAACTATTACCCGTTTAGAGGTCGACTCCCAATTTTTGGCCAAAAAATTTGGTCTTAAAAACTCGAACTACACACAGGTACAGTATATATGGTAAATAAGGTCATGGGGGGCCAGGGGGGTGTTTTTAGGGGGGGGGGGGGCAGCAAAAATACGCGGATTTTTAACAGTCACGGGTATCTCTGTTACCTATCCCTCGCGTATGTTAAGGGCCGACTGTATATTACAGTACAGTATTATGAAATAATGCGTCACTTCACAACCAATCATTCTGAGAAGACATGAGCCTTAGTGCTCATTATGAAATCTGTCATGCCCAGCTGTTCCAGAACTATTTTTGCTGACTGTACATAAGATACTTTGTATATCTGTGCCAAACACATATGTGCAAACTAGGACAGATTCATAAGTACATGTGGATAAACAATGTCCTTCTCTAAAGTCTGTAGATATTTATTTAAAGTGGCTTACTGTATGGTTGCTAAAATTATTTTTTTTTATTTCAGATGGCACTGCAGACCTCATACAATGACACAACAATCTCCAACTTAGAGTTATCTGGAACATTGGGAACAGAAACCAATTTTAGTGCAAACCAGTCTGGCCCTTCACCTCTTGACTGTCTTTTGAATTGTAAGTAATTTTATTATAATGTATGACCATCTTACCCATTGTTTAGTGGCCTGCAATTTTACCACTATTAAATCTCAACTGTGGAAACATTATTCTTACCAATAATGTAGTTTAGCTGTACTGTACTGTGGAAACATTATTCTTTCCAATAATGTAATTTTGGAGTATTTTACTGTACTGTACTGTACTGTACTGTACCGTATTGTGGAAATGTTTTTCTTACCAATTATGTAGTTTAGGAGTGTTGTATTGTACTGTACTGTGGAAATAATTATTATTCTTTCTAATGATGTAGTTTAGCAGTATTGTACTTTACTGTACATGTACTATACTGTACTGTGGAACACTATTCTTCCCTACAGAACACTTAAAATATTGAATTGTCCTGTATAATTTTCTATTGCCACATTCACTTTCATGCTCTTTAACTCTACTTTGCCCTTCCATTTCTTAAATATTTTCACTCCTTCAATACTTTCAGCAATAACTCGTTAGCATACAACAATTTCCAGGGCAGACTGGTCCTAAAGGCTCATTACATTATATGTATCACCAAGATAAAGAGGAGCTGATAAAAAAAAAGTAAATGTTTAATTACTACATGAACTGTATGTTTGAGGTTTGTCTGGGTTGTAGTCCTGCCAGCTTCAGGCATCCATTACTACTCTATATGAATCTTCTTGGAACCTATATCTGGTTGTCATCCAATACGTATATACCTGTAAATACAGATTATTATATTATTTTAATTTTGATAATTAAACTTAATAGGATTTTATTTTATTCATATCATAATTCAAAATTATAAGTTTCATTTTTGGTGTCCAGTGGCCACAGACTGTGCTGCCAGATATTTTACCGAATCAATCAATCCTTCCCTGGCTGTTGGTTGGCCAGCTCTTTGTGCTATTTTAACAAAGCATCGGGAATTTAATGACACAATAACTCGTGTGGGGGCGAGTGTGGATTATTTTTATTTTATTTTTTTCAGGAAAATTATTTTTTTATGATAATTTTTTTTTAACCAGCACCAAATGAACCGAAATGTTATGGGAGTCATGGTGAAATTGTATACTGTACTGCCGTTTTAAAGGGGCCATGATACTGGAAGAACTGTATTTTCTGGTCAGTACAGCTCACCACTCACCCTACCTCCCAACTTTCCCACAGAATTCAATTCACACTTGTCATTTTTATTATTTTATATTATTACGATATATTATATTTTCTTTATTTCTTAGTCACATTAGAGTACTTGTACTGTATTATATTTTAGTATTATAGTGAATTTTTGAGGTGTGATTCAGTAGGGTGTTTGATATACAGGGGGTCCCCTGGTTAAAAATGGGTTCCATTCCTGAGGAAGTTCTTAAGTTGGATTTGAACATAAATTGGAACACATTCTATGTACATACCATACTTACAGAACAGTGCTTAAAATCCAACTATATCATAGTCTAAGTCCTTGTATACAGCAGACCCTTAGTCCCTTACCATTTGCGAGGATAGGTTCCAAGAAATGGCACGAATTTTGGCAAAACCACGAATAGCCACTTATATAATACCTTAATGGACTAATATACAGGTATACCTATTTACACCCACCTCTCGTTTTACACGGGTGTTACGTTCTTGAAAACCACCGCTTTATTAAAAAATGCGTAAATTAAACATAATTTTCCCATAAGAATACGTGTAAATGGTACAGGTTAGGGGAACCATCAGATACCACATAGGGTACGAACAGTGCTCTCACTTAAACCAAGCACGCGGCCAACCTCCAACACACACACACTCTCTCTGAAGGCGGGAGATCACATTTAATTTCACGTCCATTGCGATAGTTTTTCGTTCCTTTTTAGCTTTAGGCGCCCCAGGGGAAGCAGATGGACGTTTTCCAGACATGCTCAATGGGGAAACAGCGTTTAACACTAAAAAGGTACAGGTTGTACCTCTCTAGTCCGGCATTCTGTGGTCCGGAAACTCCCGTGGTCTGGAACGATTTTAGTTTGTCCAATAGGTAGATAGGCAGGTTTTTTTTTTTTTTTTTTACTTATCTGAATTATTATTATTATTACAGGAGTATTAAATTTTTGCCCCTCAGGCCCCAATGTGGGTCAGTGACCTATGCCCGGGTGGGCTAATCCCCATAAAAAACCGACAACAAAGCCACGGGAAATTAAGGTTTGTTTACATCCGGCAGTTCGGCTGCTCTCTCTCTCTCTCTGCTTGTCTATACAGAGTACAACATTTAACCCTTCAATATATATGAGCAGTAAATAAGTGTTGCTTTCATATTCTTATGTAGAGTAATGACGATATATTTTCACATGTGCGCACTTACATACGAGCAGTCTCACTTTTTTTTTTACCATTAATGGTTAGCTACTTATATTGTTCCATTTATTAACATTAAATAACATTACAGGTACTTCAAGCAACCATATTCATTTTTTACATTAATTTTACTACAGCTAAACTCAGGGTCTTATTTTCTTCAGTTTTATATGTAGAACCAATCAGTCACTGGTTTCGTAAGCTTTAACATAAACAATGCCGGCAGCCGTCTCGTCTCCTCTAATATTCCACGTATTATTAATAAATTGTATTGTTAATTTTGCACACACGTACATTAATTCAATAAAAACAAATTCAGAAACATTAATTAAAATATATATGAACAGTAAATAAGTGTTGCTTTCATATTCTTATGTAATGTAATGACGATATGTTTTCACGTGTGCGCATGCGCACTTACATATGCGATCTCTTTTTCCTTTACCATTATCGTTAGCTACTTCTATTGTTCCATTTATTAACATTAAATAACATTACTTAAAACAACCATATTAATTTTACTACAGCTACAACCAAGGTCTTATTTTCTTCAGTTTTATATGTAGAACCAGTCAGTCACTGGTTTTGTAATCAACGAAAACATTGTTGTGTCATTTCCTCGTGTGTTTTAATATTCTACGTATTATTAATGAATTTTATTGCTCATTTTGCACACATAAACATTAATTCGATAAAAAAGACATTCAGTAATAAACAATAATGAATCTCTTGTACATAAGAGAAATGACGCTGTTTACACGATTATGCACGTCGCCTGCACGTTGGCGGGCTGTTCAAACCCGTCGAAATTCAAGTTTCCGCCGCCAAAATTTTTATTTATTTATTTTTTGTGTGTTTCAATAAAATACGTTAAGAATTAAAAACTCGCGGAATTTGAGAAGCTACTATACGACATTTAACCCTTCAATATGTCTTCAAAGAGACCATGACGCAGAGAAAGTGGTGCTAGTGCTTCCAGGCATAAGCACAATTCACTATCTATCCAGGAAAAGGGTGAATTTCCATGGTACTGCAATTTCCATGGTCCGGCACCGGTCAGGTCCCGAGGTTGCCGGACTAGAGAAGTACAACCTGTACGTGATAACATGCAATGCAAATGAAAGCACAGAGAAAAAGTAGTGCTCATGTGAACTGAGAAAGTGATACGCGGGAAGCTTGCTCGTCACAGTTGTTGTACAGAATACTTCATTATCATCATTATCTTCATCATTAGTAGTAATACAGGTGCTCCCCGACTTACGACGGGGTTAGGGACCCAAATCCAGGTCGTAAGTCCGATTGGTCGTAAGTCTGATTAGTCGTAAGTCCGACATAGATAAAAAAATAAAAAATAAATAAATAAATAAATAAATAAATAAAAATTAAAAAATTAAAAAAAAAATAATAAAAAATTTACAATGAAATACAGTACAGTAAAAGTAATAAATAATGAGGAATGGATACGGTGTTACTGAGCACTTACCTTTAATGTAGTCAGCTGAATGCACACGGGGCCCCCATAATTTTCTATTTACAGGATATTGTACATGGAGACTATATTAATTGGATGAAGCAGAGGAGGAGACAGGGCTGGGTGGGTCATCAATGTCGCTTTCTTCAGACAGGTTTATGTACTGTGGAAACTTGCTGGTTGAAGGTATTGGATCATCTTGAGGGAGTGAAGAGGTAGCACTGGTGGGGCGTGAGGAGACAGCACTGGGGGACTTCTTAAAATAGATGTCCAATTTAGACTGCACAGTTTGTTTTTCTCTTCATTATAAATTTCTCTAGCAAGCAAGTGCATCTTGGATCATTCTGTCAACTTTGGCGTAACGCTCATAATTTTGATCCATGCCATCAAACATTTGTATTCCTTTATTAATTGTAGCAAATGCCTTTGCCATTTGTTTCACTGAAAACTTTTTGGAGGGTGCAGGTTCTTCTTCTACATTTTGTCTCTCTTCTTCCTCTGCAATTTTCTGTGCATCTAGTTCAATAAGATCCTCGTTACTGAGCTCTTCTGCTACACTTTCAACCAACTGTTCAACGTCTTCATTATCAATTTCTAACTCCAGCTGTTTACCTAACTCCACTATCTTGTTACTAATATCCGAAATAACTTCATTTTCATTTACTCCTTTGAAACTGTATGTCCGTTCAGGCATGCGCTTCCACAATAATCCTGTCTCATCCACATTGAATATTTGCTCAGGCATATAATTCCCTTCCACAATCACTTCATCTAACTCCTCCTTAAAGGCTTCGGCAGCACCAACATCGGCACTAGCTGCCTCTCCACTCACCTTAACATTGTGTAGACTGTAGCATTTTTTAAATCTATCAAACCACCCATGACTTCCTGTAAAGGTTTGATCACATTCATCTCCTTCCTGCTCCTTCAGGCTTTGGAACAGGCTTCTTGCTTTAGCCTGTATGGTTAAAAGGCTTAAGGGTACACGCTTTTGTATCTGGTCTTCTATCTATATCACCAATAATTTTTCCATATCGTGAATAGGACCTTGTCTTTTCTTTGAAATTATAGTTCCCTTTATAGGTGTTGTTCCTTTTACTATATCACGAATACGTTCCTTGTCCTTCAGAATAGTGGATAGAGTCGAGTGTGAGAAACCTAGGTCACTTGAGATTGTTGCTACAGGTTTTCC